ACTTCGTGAATCAATGCTCACATTGTCTGACACAAGTGAGTCTGTTCTTCATCTGGGTACATCTCTCAGGAAGTCGCGGGACACAGCTAAGCATCTCGTCATATTAGAGAAGATGTCATACGCCCAGTCAAGAATGAGTGAGTGTGTGAATTAGCTTTACGTTGCTTCTAGTATCATAGACGAGCTATATCAGTGTAGGGGACGCCAAGGGTTGACTTCAGTTGCTTTTAACACTCGGCTATCCCCCAGCCCCTGTCGAGTTTAAGAAACCGTTAATTCTTTCTGCAAGCTTGCATGGACAAAAAAAGGATGCTAACGGTTTATTTCGAGTTGATCGTTCTTTAGATAAAATGAAAAATAATCTTTCTTTTTTCGCTTTATGGAAGTTTCGAATTAGAGTAAACTACCGGGCAAAAGAAAGACCAAATCTAGAAAATTACAAACGTTATTAAGAGGCTGAAAACAGTCGCCGAAACACTGCACGCTTAAGGTGCAAAACTCAGTTATAAAACATCACCTTCGAATAACCATTTCTTATTTGTTTCATTTGTAGCCACCATCAAACATGGGCGTATGATTTACTTTGCCTGGCAGTTTATTTAGAATTCTATTACTTTGAATATGTTACGCAAGTTTATTAACATATATGGGACAAATAATGCTCATTTATTTGATTTCTTCGCTAAGAGGATGCGTGACCTGGCAAAGACCGGGTGTTGAAAACACGCTTCCAACGTTTTAGAAGTTTAAATAGGAATATGGATTTTCAATAAACTTACACAATTCAAAGTAGGGCACCAAATAAAATTCATTCAGTGATGATCATATCGATATATTATCAAATTATCATGTTGACATGATTGTTAGGAGCTCTCTTATGGTTCATCAGTACATGCTGCTGGAGCTCAAAAAGGGAATAAAACACGGCACCAAAATCCGGATTTAACACCTTTGAAACAAAGCAAATACCGCAGGAAATGCATGCAATGACCGGATTTGCCCTATATGAACTAGCTTTCATATTATAATAGGTTGCATCTTTGAAACATATTGTCACTATAAGTACAATCATGTTTGATAATTTTCATCATTTGTCGTCTCCCTTGGTTTGTATAACTTCAAATATCTTTCTTGGGGTAGAAATACGAAACGCTGTATGTTTATTTAGTTGGTTCCATACTATACTTGCGACAATAACATTATGTTTTAAATCAAAATAATAAATACGGTACATACTTAGTCCACAAAACGCGTACATTTGGGAATGCGTGTAAACGGCAGAGTATTAAACACAACAACTAAATTTATATGTTTGATGGAAACGGAAAAGGACAAATATATTACCAAGAAATATATTTTTTTCATGGCTGAAATAGTGTTGCCTTGTAGGCATGTTGCGTTCCCGTCATATTTCTTCTATGAATAATAAACTCATGTTGTTTATCAACCTAATGAACTAGATGATGTAGATCTTGTTGGTCGACAGGTTACAGAGATACACGCATGAATATATCAAATGCATTTACGATTCTACTTTTCATTGCACGATATTAGGGCAGATTCAGTATTACTAAAAGTCTTTTACACGAATGTGAGATGTGAAGCAATAAAATTAACAGAGCGTTATCAAAATGTTTGTAGAAATTGAACATTTGTACATCTTGCGTGCACGTGCGTGGGTGCGTGCGTGCGTGCGTGCGTGCGTGTATGTAGCTGCTTGTACTAGTCCTGACTAATGCCGATTTTATAGCCCAATGAGATACCATGCCGCAGTTTAGCATGAATACCTCAATCAGACACAGTGTACTGCCTCCGAGCCGACAAATCCTTGTTTTAGCCCCTTAATGCCGAGCCGCAGGCAGGGTAACAACAAGTATCATCTTTTAACATCTTTTGGTATGACGCAGCCGGGATCGAACCCCAAACCACTAGACAATAGAGGCCAGCTCAAGGATTGTAGGGATATACTTGTTTGAACTGACACGTTTTAACTTGGTAGTGCTCATCAACCATTGAATTTATTGCTGAATACTGTCAATGGCGTAATCATAGTTTTACCTATTTAGGAGGGCATGAAACATAGACTGTATCTAAACATTGTTATACCAGATTTCAAGGGTATGCTAATCTATGTCATATATGCACATGATTTACAATTAGTTTACAAGCTAGAAAATACATAAAAACGATGACCATATTTCCACACCGTTGTTTAGAATATATATTTTACCAATAGTCTAATGTTTAAGGGGTCGATGGAGTAGGCTAGTGGTAGCCTAGTGGTTATAGCGTTCGCTCGTCACGCCGAAGGCGCGGGTTCGTTCCTCACGTGGTTACAATATGTGAAGCCCATTTCTGGTGTCCCCCGCCGTGATATTTCTGGAATGTACCTAAAAGCGGCGTAAAACCATACTCACTCACTCACTCATTCACTAACTCAATGGTTATGTTATTGTTCAAGGAGTACTACCTGTTGAAACACTGAGGTTGTGGGTTCAAGCCCAAATTACCTCCAAAAACTGTTTCACTTTCTGAAATGATTTACACAAAGCCTCTAGCTGACATTGATCACGTGGAAAAAGCACATGGAGCACACAGGGGAAGAGACTCATGGTGACACAGTCGGGAGACATGATCAATTTAGATTGTACCGAGATGTTACTAGAATTATTGCAGTTTCAAATATATGCATAATCGCGCAAAGCTACGTTTTGTTTGTTTGTTGTTTAACGCCGCACTCAGCAATTATTCCAGCTATATGACGGCGGTCTGTAAATAATCGAGTCTGGACCGATGACATGCATCCACCAAGTCAGCGAGCCTGACCACCCTATCCCGTTAGTCGCCGCAAAGCTACGTGATATATTATAAGGTAATATTACTATTGATTCATTTTTGAAAATTTAGATTGCTTCAATCAACGTGTAGACAGAGACAAACTGTCTATTTTCCAAAATTTGGGGAAACAGCTGACTCTTCAGTTTGTAGAGATATGTTTGGTGTTCACGGTGCGCACTTGCCAGCAATGAATGCATTGGCGCCAAGTTGAAGGTCCCCCCTTGTACTTCCGTTTAGGGTTACGGCTGGTCAGCTCATATAATTCTAAATGAATTAACCTGAGAAACCTGTCAGAGTAGTCTGCCTCTGCTAGATTTTATTGTGCATTGCCGTGTCGTGTCAATAAACGACTAAAGAACTGTTGTAAATGCTGACATATATGCTGCGCGTATCTTTCGAAAAACCAGTTCAGTCCCTTTGGCGCTTTAGTGGAGTCGTGTATTGACACGGAGAGACACGAACGTGGTCTTCAATGTGTAAAAATATATCTGAAATTATCATTGAAGTAGACTTGCTTAATTAAAGGACGCTGGTAAACCAGTTTCATTGACATGTTCCATTTTATACTGGGTGTGTAGGCGGTGGACGCAACCGCTTGTGTTGCAGTGTTATTAATGGCCCGTTGAGACGCATCACCGACAGACAAGTGGCCTCTCCAGACATGGCCATTAAGGCAGGCCTGATACAGTAATGTTGTCAGGAGCTTATCGGTGGATTGAGGATGTCGAGTTTCGGCACCAGATTTACTTATACACGTGATCCCTGGTGGTTGGCGGGCCTTTCTTTTATCATTATATGTATGTGGTATGTGTGGTGAGATTCAGGGACCGTTCATCTATCACAGGGTGTATGTAGTATGTGTGGTGAGATTCAGGGACCGTTCATCTATCACAGGGTGTATGTGGTATGTGTGGTGAGATTCAGGGACCGTTCATCTATCACAGGGTGTATGTAGTATGTGTGGTGAGATTCAGGGACCGTTCATTTATCACAGGGTGTATGTGGTATGTGTGGTGAGATTCAGGGACCGTTCATTTATCACAGGATGTATGTAGTATGTGTGGTGAGATTCAGGGACCGTTCATTTATCACAGGGTGTATGTGGTATGTGTGGTGAGATTCAGGGACCGTTCATTTATCACAGGGTGTATGTAGTATGTGTGGTGAGATTCAGGGATCGTTCATTTATCACTGCATTGGTGTATGTAGTATGCGTGGTGAGATTCAAGGGGCGATCATTTATCACATGGTGTATGTAGTCTGCGTGGGGATATTCAAGGGGCGCTCATTTATCACTGGGTGTATGTAGTCTGCGTGGTGATATTCAGGGACCGATCATTTAACACTGGGAGTTTGTACCAAGTGGGATGAGATTCAGGGGCCGATAATGTATCACTGGTTGTATTTAGTGTGCGTGGTGAGATTCGATGACCGTTTGTTTATCAGTATGTGTGTGTGTATAGTATATGTGGCGAGATTCAGGGGCCGATCATTTATCAGTAGGTGTGTTAGTGTGTGGTTAGATTCAGGTATCGATCATTATCAGGGGCGGTCGGGTAGCCTAGTGGTTAAAGCGTTCGCTTGTCACGCCGAAGACCCGGGTTCGATTCCCGACATGGGTACAATGAGTGAAGTCCATTTCTGGTGTTCCCCGCCGTGATATTGCTGGAATATTGCTAAAAGCGGCGTAAAAAAATACCCACCCTCTCACTCATTATCATTAGGTGTATGTAGAATGTGTGGTGAGATTCAGGGACCGTTCATTATCGTTAGGTATATGTAGCATGTGTTGTGAGATTCGGGGACTGTTCATTATCATCAGGTGTCCGTAGTATATGTAAGATTCAGGGGTCTATCATTTATCGAAATAGATGTCCCTTTTGTGTGGGCGTGAATGAGGTTAAAGCAACACTCGTACAATATCCCCACAGTGAGCTTCACTCACTCACTCACTCACTCTCGCTTCGTGTGACAAGCGAACGCTACCACCACTTTGCTATCTACCGTCTCCACACTATAGAAATCCTTACTCCAAAAGCACAATATTTCCGCGTATATAACTTCATGCGCTCATTCCACAGAGAGCAAAGGTGATGGCGCTCTACAACCGTCTCGTTCTCCGACTGTATTGATTTGCTCGCTACAGTTCGCGCAGGAGGAAGGGTACCGGCTCGTCCCGGGGAACTGTTGTTCCCAATCAGCTGGACATGTTGTGTACGCCATTCGTAATTAGCTCAACCTGATAAGGAAGACGCCACGTGCAACACTACACCTGTAAGTGAAGGTAAGACATATATCGCTCGTTACTGGTTTATCTAATTTGTGAGTTGATTCAGGTGTTTGTTTGCTGTTGGGGTTATAGGAAATTACGTACGTATACACAGAACTTCTTATGATTTGTTTGATTACAGGTAAGACAGCTGTATTTCTCTATGTCTGGCGTGTGTATATTTCTGATGAGTTTATTCAGGTGTTATGTTTACTGTAAAATGAAATCATGTACATATCCACAATGGAACGCGTGACTTGTCGACTTCAGCTGTCAACTTCATTTCTCGTACAGGCTTGTGAAAATAATGTGTTTCGTACTAGCTTGTGAATACTAGATGTTTCGTACTGGCTTGTGTAAACTAGGTGTTTAGTACTGGCATGTGTATACTCGGTGTTTCGTACTGGCTTGTGTGTACTCGGTGTATCGTCCTGGCTTGTGTATCGTGGTGTCTCGTACTGGCTTGTGTACTCGGTGTATCGTACTGGCTTGTGTGTACTCGATGTCTCGTACTGGCTTGTGTATCGTGGTGTCTCGTACTGGCTTGTGTACTCGGTGTATCGTACTGGCTTGTATCTAGTGGTGTATCGTACTGGCTTGTGTGTACTCGGTGTCTCGTACTGGCTTGTGTATCGTGGTGTCTCGTACTGGCTTGTGTACTCGGTGTATCGTACTGGCTTGTATCTAGTGGTGTATCGTACTGGCTTGTGTGTACTCGATGTCTCGTACTGGCTTGTGTATCGTGGTGTCTCGTACTGGCTTGTGTGTACTCGGTGTCTCGTACTGGCTTGTGTATCGTGGTGTCCCGTACTGGCTTGTGTGTACTCGGTGTCTCGTACTGGCTTGTGTATCGTGGTGTCTTGTACTAGCTTGTGTGTACTCGGTGTCTCGTACTGGCTTGTGTATCGTGGTGTCTCGTACTAGCTTGTGTGTACTCGGTGTCTCGTACTGGCTTGTGTATCGTGGTGTCTCGTACTGGCTTGTGTGTACTCGGTGTATCGTCCTGGCTTGTGTGTACTCGGTGTCTCGTTCTGGCTTGTGTGTACTCGGTGTCTCGTACTGGCTTGTGTGTACTCGGTGTATCGTACTAGCTTGTATATACTATGTGTCTCGTACTGGCTTGTGTATCACCGTGTCTCGTACTGGCTTGTGTATCATGGTGTCTCCAATTGGCTTGTGTGTACTCGGTGTATCGTACTGGCTTGTGTGTACTCGGTGTATCGTACTAGCTTGTGTGTACTCGGTGTCTCGTACTGGCTTGTGTATCGTGGTGTCTCGTACTGGCTTGTGTACTCGGTGTATCGTACTGGCTTGTATCTAGTGGTGTATCGTACTGGCTTGTGTGTACTCGATGTCTCGTACTGGCTTGTGTATCGTGGTGTCTCGTACTGGCTTGTGTGTACTCGGTGTCTCGTACTGGCTTGTGTATCGTGGTGTCCCGTACTGGCTTGTGTGTACTCGGTGTCTCGTACTGGCTTGTGTATCGTGGTGTCTCGTACTAGCTTGTGTGTACTCGGTGTCTCGTACTGGCTTGTGTATCGTGGTGTCTCGTACTAGCTTGTGTGTACTCGGTGTCTCGTACTGGCTTGTGTGTACTCGGTGTATCGTCCTGGCTTGTGTGTACTCGGTGTCTCGTTCTGGCTTGTGTGTACTCGGTGTATCGTACTGGCTTGTATATACTATGTGTCTCGTACTGGCTTGTGTATCACCGTGTCTCGTACTGGCTTGTGTATCATGGTGTCTCCAATTGGCTTGTGTGTACTCGGTGTATCGTACTGGCTTGTGTGTACTCGGTGTCTCGTACTGGCTTGTGTGTACTCGGTGTATCGTACTAGCTTGTATATACTATGTGTCTCGTACTGGCTTGTGTATCACCGTGTCTCGTACTGGCTTGTGTATCATGGTGTCTCCAATTGGCTTGTGTGTACTCGGTGTATCGTACTGGCTTGTGTGTACTCGGTGTCTCGTACTAGCTTGTGTGTACTCGGTGTCTCGTACTGGCTTGTGTATCGTGGTGTCTCGTACTGGCTTGTGTGTACACGGTGTATCGTACTGGCTTGTGTATCGTGGTGTCTCGTACTGGCTTGTGTATCGTGGTGTCTCGTACTGGCTTGTGTATCGTGGTGTATCGTACTGGCTTGTGTGTACTCGGTGTATCGTCCTGGCTTGTGTGTACTCGGTGTATCGTCCTGGCTTGTGTATCGTGGTGTATCGTACTGGCTTGTGTATCATGGTGTCTCGTACTGGCTTGTGTATACTCGGTGTATCGTACTGGCTTGTGTAAACTAGGTGTCTCGTACTGGCTTGTGTATCGTGGTGTCTCGTACTGGCTTGTGTACTCGGTGTATCGTACTGGCTTGTATCTAGTGGTGTATCGTACTGGCTTGTGTGTATTCGATGTCTCGTACTGGCTTGTGTATCGTGGTGTCTCGTACTGGCTTGTGTATCACGGTGTCTCGTACTGGTTTGTGTGTACTCGATGTCTCGTCCTGGCTTGTGTGTACTCGGTGTCTCGTACTGGCTTGTGTGTACTAGGTGTCTCGTACTGGCTTGTGTATCACGGTGTCTCGTACTGGCTTGTGTATCATTGTGTCTCGTACTGGCTTGTGTGTACTCGGTGTCTCGTACCAGCTTGTGTGTACTCGGTGTCTCGTCCTGGCTTGTGTGTATCAAGGTGTCTCGTACTGGTTTGTGTGTACTCGGTGTCTCGTACTGGCTTGTGTGTACTAGTTGTCTCGTACTGGCGTGTGTATCGTGTGGCTCGTACTGGTTTGTGTGTACTCGATGTCTCGTACTGGTTTGTGTGTACTCGATGTCTCGTCCTGGCTTGTGTGTACTCGGTGTCTCATACTGGCTTGTGTGTACTCGGTGTCTCGTACTGGCTTGTGTATCATTGTGTCTCGTACTGGCTTGTGTATACTCGGTGTCTCGTACTGGCTTGTGTATCACGGTGTCTCGTACTGGCTTGTGTATCATTGTGTCTCGTACTGGCTTGTGTGTACTCGGTGTATCGTACTAGCTTGTGTATCACGGTGTCTCGTACTGGCTTGTGTATCATTGTGTCTCGTACTGGCTTGTGTGTACTCGGTGTATCGTACTAGCTTGTATATACTATGTGTTTCGTACTGGCTTGTGTATCACCGTGTCTCGTACTGGCTTGTGTGTACTCGGTGTCTCGTACTGGCTTATGTGTACTCGGTGTCTCGTACTGGATTGTGTGTATTCGGTGTCTCGTACTGGTTTGTATGTACTCGGTGTCTCGTACTGGCTTGTGTGTATTCGGTGTCTCGTACTGGCTTGTGTGTACTCGGTGTCTCGTACTGGCTTGTGTGTATTCGGTGTCTCGTACTGGCTTGTGTGTATTCGGTGTCTCGTACTGGCTTGTGTGTACTCGGTGTCTCGTACTGGCTTGTGTGTATTCGGTGTCTCGTACGGGTTTGTATGTACTAGGTGTCTCGTACTGGCTTTTGTGTACTAGGTGTCTCGTACTGGCTTGTGTGTAATTCGGTGTCTCGTACTGGCTTGTGTGTATTCGGTGTCTCGTAATGGTTTGAATGTACTCGGTGTCTCGTACTGGCTTGTGTGTATTCGGTGTCTCGTACTGGTTTGTGTGTACTCGGTGTCTCGTACTGGCTTGTGTGTACTCGGTGTCTCGTACTGGTTTGTGTGTACTCGGTGTCTCGTACTGGCTTGTGTGTACTCGGTGTATCGTACTGGCTTGTGTATACTCGGTGTATCGTACTGGCTTGTGTATACTAGGTGTTTCGTACTGGCTTGTGTATACTCGGTGTATCGTACTGGTTTGTATTCACTCGGTGTATCGTACTGGCTTGTGTGTACTAGGTGTCTCGTACTGGCTTGTGTATCACGGTGTCTCGTACTGGCTTGTGTATTACGGTGTCACGTACTGGCTTGTGTATACTCGGTGTATCGTACTGGCTTGTGTATACTCGGTGTATCGTACTGGCTTGTGTATACTCGGTGTCTCGTACTGGCTTGTGTATTACGGTGTCACGTACTGGCTTGTTTATACTCGGTGTATCGTACTGGCTTGTGTATACTCGGTGTATCGTACTGGCTTGTGTATACTCGGTGTCTCGTACTGGCTTGTGTATACTCGGTGTCTCGTACTGGCTTGTGTATCACGGTGTCTCGTTCTGGCTTGTGTATCACGGTGTCACGTACTGGCTTGTTTATACTCGGTGTCTCGTACTGGCTTGTGTATACTCGATGTATCGTACTAACTTGTGCGTACTCGGTGTATCGTACTAGCTTGTGTATCACGGTGCTTCGTACTGTCTTGTGTATCACGGTGTCTCGTACTGGCTTGTGTGTACTCGGTGTCTCGTACTGGCTTGTGTGTACTCGGTGTTTCCTACTGGCTTGTTTGTACACGGTGTATTGTACTAACTTGTGTATACTAGGTGTTTCGTACTGGCTTGTGTGTACTCGGTGTATCGTACTGAGGTGTGCATACTAGGTGTATCGTTCTGAGTGATGTGTACTCGGTGTCTCGTACTGGCTTGTGTGTACTCGGTGTCTCGTACTGGCTTGTGTATCAAGGTGTCTCGTACTGGCTTGTGTATCAAGGTGTCTCGTACTGGCTTGTGCATCACGTTGTCTCGTAATGGCCTGTGTATCAAGGTGTCTCGTACTGGCTTGTGTGTACTCGGTGTCTCGTACTGAGTGATGTGTACTCGGTGTCTCGTACTGAGTGATGTGTACTCGGTGTCTCGTACTGAGTGGTGTGTACTCGGTGTCTCGTACTGGCTTGTGTGTACACGGTGTCTCGTACTGAGTGATGTGTACTCGGTGTCTCGTACTGGCTTGTGTGTACTCGGTGTCTCGTACTGGCTTGTGTGTACACGGTGTCGCGTACTGAGTGATGTGTACTCGGTGTCTCGTACTGGCTTGTGTGTACACGGTGTCTCGTACTGGCTTGTGTGTACTCGGTGTCTCGTACTGGCTTGTGTGTACTCGGTGTCTCGTACTGGCTTGTGTGTACACGGTGTCTC